AAATTCAAGCTCACTCTTAGCCGAATATTCAACTTTAATGTACTCTAGAGAAGCGTGTCAGGGCTAGGGTCCGAGGCGGCCGAGAACCGTTGGTGCCACACACGGTGTTGGCTTCGTTGGCCTAGACATTGTCTTTTCGAGTGGCGTTGGCATCGCAACATGGCGGTGTGACCAGGGCTCACCCTAGTGCGACCCAATCTCCTATTCTTTAGAGCATCCCCGGCAGTCGTTTCCATTTTATTGCTAACGGGTGGCTTTGGAAACGACCAGTTGGCAATGGAAATGGAGCTCCCCAACAGCGTTGCCAAACGTTGCAAATCAACAGCTGACAGATCAACATTCCAACGATAGCGCGGCCCTCCACTGGTTCCAGGGCGACGCCGTCGACGCCAGCACTGACTAGGCCGTCCTAGTCGCGGCACGGGCCGCGCTTACCTAGAGTCATCAAGGCAGTTCATGACTATGCGAGGGAGCTAACCGCATGTCAGCGGGCCTTGTGTGCAGATATGATTTGCCCAGATCGCTCAATGCAAGTGCCCTCAGAGGGGGTTCTACTACATCTGGGGTCTCTGTGTTGCAGGCATGGCTGTCCTCAACAGTAGAAAACTCCGAGCTCAGTTCTGACGGCGTTTCATGCCTTGAATTCGCCCATTGCCCGACGCATTGGCCTTAAAAACGATTGGAAATGCTGGCCGATGTTTTTAAAGTCGACCGCGATTAACACGACCGGCAAATTTTTACAATTTTTTAGAAAAACAACGCCTCTTGGGGAGGTCCGTTTTTAGAAATCGCTATTTACGTTTTCATCATCATATCATATCATATCATATTGGATTCGTTATACTGACTAATGATCCTCAGAGTCGATATATGAACTTCTTGGACAACTTGCGTTCTGATTGGCGCATGATAAGTGGCGACATGTGGCTCGGCCTTCCTTGACGTTCGTGCCCGGATAGATATCCGGACGACGAAAACTTGTCCGTGCTCGGGATCGAACCGGCGACCTTGGGAGTTGTAAGCAGAAATTCTACCGCGCGACCCATGCGGCCGCCCCCCATTTACGTTTTTTATAGCTCCTAGTTTTTTTACCCACAAACATCTCGATACACCCTTCTCGGTGGGAGCACTCGGTGGGACCATCGGAGTTGAAGCCACCTTGGTCGCGGAGTGGTCCCAGCAGCGAAGCGAGGCCACGCACGTAGTGCACACGTGTATGCGCGCGTTGGAGACCTGCCGGCGTGTGATGTTGGCGTTGTGGAGACCTCTTGCTTGGAGCTCCCGGATAATTCAGCTTTCCCGCATACATATGTATGTGTCCCGAGGGCGTCAATAGTGAAGTCAAAGTAAACCCGATTTAGGTTTTTTTTCATCAATGATGTCGGTGGATCTCGCCTCACTGAACGTGAAAACCGATTTCGCTGTGATTAGGCTAGATCCGGTGGCCGCTAGGATAGTTAGCGCTCTGATTTGTCAAATATTTATAGAATATGAAGTGTTCATCGTTGTGATTGGTCGAGAGTGGTTGGAAGTTTGGTGTGAGTGTCTCAGCATTGTGTCTGAAGCATATTGGAATCGAATGAACATTGCGTGGGTTTAGTGCCGGGGTTGGATTGGCCGACACGCTGTTTTTGGCAATGATAACTCTTAGCCATCGCATCATCGTATCCTTGTGGCGCCTTAGTGCCCTTCTCCCCGCGAGGGTTCAGCTTCGCCTGCTTAAGCAACTGCAGACTCTGCTGCTGGAGATGAAGATGCTTTCACCAGAATGATTAATCAGCCAACAATATTTTGGTATCGAGCACTCATGCATTATACCCCGCGGGGCCTCGACCGCACGCTAAACGATTAACCATGCCCAAGCTGCAGGCATTTTCGTATGTGTGCGAGTTTTGCGAGGCACGCCTCGTGGTGTCTGGAGTGTAAAAGCTTGGCTCACCGTGCTGCAGCTATAGAATGATCGACATCGAACACCCCTGCGGATCCCAGCATGACTCTCCTGCAAGGTACAAAAATCGCATGCCTTGCTGCAACAATGATGTCGTCGGTGTATATCATCATCTACGCTGGCCTACAAGCTGACACTTGGCCTCTCACGTTGCTCATGTGACTTCTGTCAAGACACTTATCGCAGCGTCCATGATCTCGACTGCTTCGACCGATACGCGGCGCTGCTGCGCATGTAGAGCTTTGTGGACAATTTGAGGCCTTATGCGACATTGATAATCTTTTACGCACAATCGCTTACTCGAGATCTAGCGATTCTGCGCTCGTGATGTTCCACTGGATATTCAAGAGGGCCTCACTACTGCCCACCCGAACCAATGCGCTACAATCGACGCCGTATGCCACGAGCTTGATCTGTCTTCTTGCATCGTGAGCATCATCGCTTTTTGTGTGGCGAAGGTCGTTCTGGGAAAAGTTTTGTGTCGAACCTTTTGCTTGCATGGTGTCGGTCCAACGAGCGTGTCTCGATTGCTGTTGCTTGCATCTACAGGTAGCGCTCACACTGCACGGTGGTACCACC